TTAGTTATTTGTTCTTGGCACAGTCTTGTCATGGGACCCAGGCTAGTCTGGAAGTCACCGTCCTCCTGCCTTCGTGTCCCGAGAGTCGGGATGACAGGCGTGCTCTGCTGTACCTAGCCGTGTTTGGTTGGTTTTGGTTTTTGAGGTAGGGTTGCGCTTTGTAGTAGTTTCAGCTGGCTTGGAACTCACGTAAATCAAGATGACCTCGAACTCAGAGAGATCCACCTGCCTCTGCTTTCTAAGTGCTAGGATTAATGGCGTGCACCACCAAGGCTGGCCCCAGCCGTGTTTTGTTTGTTTTTAAGTTATTATTTTTGTGTGTATACATGATGTATGTATGTGAGTATTTGCGCCAGTGTTTATGTCCATAAGAAGCTTTGTGGAGTTGGTTCTGGGGGATTGAATTCGTATTGTCGTGCTAAACCATCCTGCCCTGCCCAGCTGCTTGTGTTGTTCGCATCCTTTAAGCTGTAAGACAGTGCAGGTTAACAATGACTGTCGTTCCCCCACCCCACCTCCAGCTTCTGACAGCTTCTGTTTTCTGTCGCTATGATTTTCCATACTCCAGTGTTGCATGTAGATGGGGCCATAAAAACAATATTCTTGTTGTTGTGTTTGGCTCATTCCACTTAGCATAATGTGAAGAATCTACCTCTCTACATTTACACGTAGTGAGGCCGCTTTCCTTTGGAGACACTGAGTGGGATCAGCATTTAACAGACAGCAGATGCACCTGAGATGGTAGCTGGTTTTGGTGCCTCTGTCTGGAACCCTTGTGAGGACCAGCAGCCCCACTGTCCTGTGTACCTGCTACTGCTTGCTTCTTTCCGTGGTTTTCTGTGATTTTCCGTGCTCTGTGTCCTCTAAGCTGTGTCTCTTGTTGCTTCTGTTCTGATTTGGTAATGTGTGGTATACATACTTTCACGCCGTGCTCCACAGTGGCCCAGCCAAACTTCCTGTGCCTGTGTCTCTTTCAGATAGGATTCTGATGTGGAGGGTGATGGTTGGCCCGAGTGAAGGCCACCTGTGTTGTCCTGCTGTCTGATCTGGGTGCCTGGGTGGCAGGCAGAGGGCTCTCCAGCAGTCCCGGAGTAGGAGTGCACAGTCCCACTGCAGGCCTGCACCTGGCTATGTTTTGGTTGCCTCCTGGTTATTGCGAAAGCAGAAGAAAAAGGGGAAATGCTGTGTGCGTGTGTGTGTGTGTGTGTGTGTGTGTGTGTGTGTCTATATTTGCAAGAATGTGTCTCTGTGTGTTTGTGTATATATGTCTGCGTGTCTGTGCTTGTGAGTGTTTGCATGAGTGTGTCTGTGTATCTATCTGCATGCAGATGTATCTATGTGCCAGTATCTAAGTATCTGACTATGTGTATGTGTGTATATCTGTGTATGAGTGTATCTATGTGTGTGTGCCTGTATGTGACTGCATCTATGGTATATGTCTGTGTGTCAGTGCATCTATGTGTGGGAGTGTGTCTATGTGTAGGAATGTATCTGTATGTGAGGAGTGTGCCTTTGAGTGTGAGTGTGTCTCTGTGTGGGAGCAGGGACTGCCACTTTGAGATCCTGCTGCCATTTGTGCTGGCAGCCTGCGCTGATGCCAGCACAGTCTCTGGCTGGAGGCACAGCCACTGCCTGCTGACGGCAGAGCTCCCGTCACATTTTTGTTTGGCAGATTTACTTTTGCTAAGTGCTTTATTATTTTTTATGAGCTCAGAATTGCAGAAATCCAAGGAATCTGCCTCTTGGTTAAGCTTCTTGCTGAAGCAAACAAAAGATTGTTGACACTAAGTTAAGGGGAAATCTCAGTGACCTCTCCCTGCCTGTGACTCCCCACCCCCCATGGAATTCCAGGAAGTGTGGGCAGCGACCCTGGGGCTCTGACCCACCGAGCCCTGGGCCCTGACTTTTGCTTCCTGGAGCCCCGCTCTCTGTTGCCTCCCACAGCCTGGAGCCTCTGACTTACCTTTGGAGATTCAGAGAGACCGACTTTACAGAAATCAGAAGTCAGGCCAGGGTACACAGGAGTGGGTCTAGCTCCCACCCACCCTTGGGATCCCTACATCCTTCCTCTCTGTCCAGTAACACGGCTAGTGGCCTCAGGGGAAAAAGGCATTAGCCAGGCAACGCCCTTCACGTCTCCTGGTCACCGCTAGAATAAGCAGTATCTGTTCCACTGACCTGCTCCACTTCCCCGTGAAGGCTGTCTGCCTTTCTGCCTCTGAGAGGAGCGCATAGTGTCCCAAGAGCCTAGAATTTCAGAGGCTCCCTGTCTCCTTCCCCAGCAGCCACAGAGATGAGGACAGGCCCCAGCTGCAGCTGTCGCTCCCAGGCAGTGACTCAACATTCCTCCAGATAGACATGGCCATGTTTGGAGGGGCAGAATTTAGACTTTGGAAGTAACTGGGATTTAGCTGAAATTCCAGAGCAGAATGCAGTGACCCCGTTCTCAGTTTTAGAAGTTTTGCCTGACAACTGTGCAGTGCAAAAATAGCCCAAGTGGGCCGGAGAGGTGGCCTAGTGGTTAAGAGCACTTGCTGCTCTTGCTCAGGACCTGAGTTTGATTCCTAGCACCCACGTACAGTGGCTCACAACCATCTGTGACTCCATCTCCAGGCCAGTCTGACACCCTCTTCTGGTCTCCACAGGTACTTGCACTCATGTGTGCACATCCACACATAGACACACACATGCACATACAGAGATGTTTCTTAAGAAGTAGTGCAAGTGGGGCTGGAGAGATGGCTCAGTGGTTAAGAGCATTGCCTGCTCTTCCAAAGGTCATGAGTTCAATTCCCAGCAACCACATGGTGGCTCACAACCATCTATAATGAGGTCTGGTGCCCTCTTCTAGCCTGCGGACACACACACAGACAGAATATTGTATACATAATAAATAAATAAATAAATAAATAAATATTAAAAAAAAAAGAAGCAGTGCAACTCAGTTCTGAGCCAAGATCCCCAACAGGTGTTGCCAAGGTTGTATTACCTCTGTGCAGGACCAGCGGCAGTCTGGGAAGACTGTATTAGCTGCACAGCTGAGGAGCCTTTGGGCTTTCTTAATGCCTGGCCCCATGCTACTGCTGCAGCCTACCCAGGTCTGGGGGTATATGCTCTGTGATGTGGGCTTGGCATAACGTGTATTCACAGGAACGGGATTTCTCGGGTGTTAGTGTGCAGTTCTTGCACACCCACTGGAGGAAAGGGCCTGAGCAGCCCCTCTTGCTGTGTCCAGCCCCTAGTTCGGCAACCACCGAGAGGGTAGCCCTTAGTGTACAGCCACCAAGCTGCTCATCCCCCAGTGCAAGGGACTTTCTATCCGAAATGGCAGCTTTACTCTTTGGGCCTCCATCCCAGAAGAACTAGGGTCTCACTTCCCACATTGGGGTGCTTTGGGAATAGGAATGTGTGAGGTGAGGGGGGTTGCAGTGTGTGAGGACCTAGCTTGCACAGTGGTCCTGATCTCATAACTTTGGAACGTGGGTTTCTCCAGCTCTGGGGACAGGGCAGGGAAAGGGCTTATTGTGTTCTTGTGCCTTGTGAAGTTTCTGCTTCCCTCATTCTTAGGCTGTCAACTGCCCAGAGCCACCACCGCCACCTTTGTTGTAGTTCTTAACTGGGCCTCCGCTTCTTCCCAGCTCAGCAGGTGTGCCCAGGGAAATCTGGCTTGCAGCCTGGATGGCTGTTGTGCTTGCGAGCATTCTTGTGGAGTTCTTGCCTTCTATGAGGCTGATCTGGGGCAGGGCTCTGTCAGCATCTGAAGCTCAGCAGCTCTCGTTGTGGAGGGTGGAGCCAGGTCATACTTTATTGGGTCCTCCAATACAAATCACGTAGGAGTTGTTTGGGGACAACATAGAATTAATGCCACTCTCAGTTCACGTATTTTTTTTTAAATATTTATTTATTTTTAATGCAATATTCTATGCAGGCCAGAAGAGGGCACCAGACCTCATTACAGATGGTTGTGAGCCACCATGTGGTGCTGGGATTTGAACTCAGGACCTTTGGAAGAGCAGTCAATGCTCTTAACCACTGAACCATCTCTCCAGCCCCTCGGTTCACGTATTTTATCAGGACTTTCAGACATAGCTCTGTTGGCAAAGCTTGCTATCGTGCATAAAGCCTTGAGTTCAGTCCCCTGCGCTACATAAACCAGCTATGGTGGTACAAGCCTATAACCTCAGCACTTGGACAGCAGAAAAAGGAAGATCAGGAGTTCAAGGTCATCCCTGGAATTTGAATTTGAAGCCAGACTGTGATACATGAGACTGTCTTTAAAAAGGCAAAATTTTGTCCTGTGTTTTAGAGCAGTCAGGCACAGACAGGTACCCTGTGGGGGTGAAGAGGAGGCCTCAGCCCTTTCTTCAAGTTAACAGACAGGACCTGCAAGCCCAGGCTCTGAGTCCAGCGAGTGCTCGGAAGAGGTCTTCTGCTGCACTGTGTGAGCCGAGTCAGGAGCAGCATCAGCCGTGTTACTATCAGACACTTGTATCGCCTTGACGCTTTGTCCCTTGACTCTGCCACCAGTGCTTTTCACATGGCCGGGAGGGGGCACAAGTGTGTTGCTGGATGTGTTCTTTGCACAAGATACCAGGCTACAAGCTCACAGCAAGCCTGGAAGGTGTGTGAGCCCCTCACAGAAGCGAGGAAGCAAGTTCAGAAGGCTGTGTCCTCACACCAGATCATAGTTTGCCCTGGTCGGATTGAGACTCCACCCTGTTTTCTGAGGATAGTAGCACCATCCCATTTCTTGAAGCTCCTGTCTTGGGTTGGGGCCTTACTGGTGCTCACTACGATGCCTGTTTGGCAGGAGAGGACCAGCAAGCAGCCTGGGCTGCAGGAGTTCCCAGTGCTAGCCTTGTCAAGTACTGAGACCTTCATTTGTCCTCGAGTTGTCGTGTGTGTGTGTGTCTGTCTGTCTCCCTTGTGGCTCTGGGTGGATGTCTGCACAGGGTTGGTGGAGTTTGGGCCTCAGACTTATTCTTGAATTTTTATTTCAGGACATAACTTGGCAAGATGAGCACTCGGCCCCATTTTCCTGGGAAACAAGGGTAAGTTGAATAAAATTTAGATGTATTTTGTGCCCTTTGAAAATATGAGGACCTGTACATTTTCTTTCAACATTTGATGGGTGCAAAGGGCTTTGTGTGGTCCTTAATGCTGGGCTGCAGTTGACAGCCTGTGTTGGTAGGACAAAGTGTGTGTGTTGGGGGAGGGGGGCTTGGGGAACTGAACCTGTGTGTGGGCCTGTCAGTCCCACTATGTCCCATGATATCCCCGGGACCCATGAGTTCCAGCCATCTTGGGTGAGACCTGCCCTGTTGGGGGACTTCTCCTTCTTCCTACTTTATCCTCCAGTATTTGGCACTTCGGTAGCGGATGCCCTTTGAGATAGCTAAGAGCCCCAGGTTAGCTGGCTGTGGCTGGTTCGTGTGCATGTACACATACGCAGACACACATGCACACATGGAAAATGGGCCCTAGTCTCCCACTCACTCATATACTGGTTGTCATCACTGCCCAAGCATCAAGCCAGACTTCAGGGCATGCCGCCATCTCCCCTGTTGTCCAGAAGAAGGACCTCAGCAAGCAGCAAGACCACAAAGAAGCAAGTGTCATATGGCCAAGGAGAGGTGAAAGGCCACGATTGTCTCTGAAGTGGATGGGGCTGCAGAGGAGACATCTGTGTGTGGAGTGGGCTTGTAGGGCACAGATATTTTAAAAGCCTTGTTTCTTAGTCTTTCACTCTTTCCTATTGCTTCTGATCATAGGCCTTGCCCCAGCTAACCCTGGCACCCAGGGGACCTGTGGAGAAGGAGGCTCAAGGCTGGGGAACACTGTGGAGTTCCAAGGGACCTTGAGAGGCCTCTTCTCCAGCCTATAGTTTTTATTAATTATGATAAAATTCACATAATGTAAATTTTAGTAGCTTAGCTTTTGAGGAGGGGTGCCCTTGTACTTAACCTTGGAGCCATCCCTTCAGCTTCATGTTTTTCTTTTTGTAAATATGGACTCTGGGGATCAGCCTTAGGTCTCTGTGCTCACCATTGGTGTCTCTCCAGCCCCAGTTAACCACTTAAGAATACATCTTCTGCAAGGTTTATTTATTTGATGTATACGTGCTCTGTCTGTGTGTACATCTGTGTGCCAGAAGATCCCCTTATAGATGACTGGGAGCCACCATGTGGTTGCTGGAAATTGAACTTGGGACCTCTGGAAGAGCTGCCAATGCTCTTAACCACTGGGCCATCTCTCCAGCCCCCAAGAAAACTTTCTTTAAAAAAAAATGTATGTGTATATGTATGTATGCCACATGTGTGCAGCTGCCCAGAGTGGCCAGAAGAAGGCGTTAGACCTTGAGGAGCTGGAGTTACATGTGGTTATGAGCTGTCAGACGTGGGTGCTGGGGACAGAATTTCCGAAAGAACCGTCCACCCTCCTAACTGCTGAGCTGTCTCTTCAGCTTGAGCGTGCAGCTCCGTGGCAGTTAGTGCCCTCACATGGCTGTGCCTCAGTGTCCACCTCCCATACCATCATTCTCTTACACACTTGCGTGTGTACACGGAGCACAAGTTGTTTTGGTGTTAGGGATAATTGGATCAAGCTAATGAACACATCCCAATTTTCCACCATGCAAGACACATCCCTCCACTTCCGACAGTGACTCCCAGCGCCCCTCCACTATCCTACCCCATACATCCCCGCAGGGATATGGTCACCACGACAATCTCTTCCACTCATCTCTCAGTTTGGCAGGCAAGCTGGGGAGGGGGGGATGCCCATGGGACTGCTGCATTCCTCTCTCAGGCTCCCATGTTTCCAGAAGAAAAACCCAGCACCCAGAAGGCCCCAGACTAGGAGGGAGGAAGGAATGGAGAAGATTCCTTGCATTCCCAGGCTGTGTGGGCTGCAGACAAGTTGGAGATTGTATGGGGAGGCTAGGCCCTTGGGACACGTCCCCAAGGTCCCTCTCCCTCCCAGCTGTCTGGCTTCTGTCTGCGTGTCTCTACTAATGTGCAGCCGCCTATTTCAGGTCCAAAGGAGGCTAAGAGGAGTTAGATCATGATGTCCAGGCCTGGTGAACTGTTAAGACAGAGCAGGGGGCCTTCCAGACCTTTCTCAGGAGGACAAAACACCCCTTTAAGCACACACTCCCTGTATACACGCTAGCACCCCTTCCATCCTCCAGACCAGGTCCTTCCCCACAACTCATGCACACACTGAATTCCTCCTCCCGTTCCTGCCGTAGGTGAGCAGGTCACATCACTGTCTGGCTAGAGAGCGGAGTGCCTGCTGGCTGTGGTTGAGAGATGTCACTGCCCATGGAAGATTGAGGGGCCTCTTCTAAGCCATGGTCTTGCGTGCACCTCCTTAATGTTAGTTGGTTTCTGAGGGGCATGGCCCTATAGGCTGAACCCAATCCCATCACAGCGTAACCCCTACAGTGCCTGGGCCAATGCATCTTAGGAAGGCCTCTTTTCCTACTTAATGGCTGCCTTCTCTCCTCCCTTTCTTCCCTCTCTCTATCCCTCTGGGCTGTCCTAACTCCCCTTCTGAAAGCTTTGTGGTTTTCTGCCCTAGATCCTTCGATGTTTTCCCTGAGTGTGGAGTAGTGTACAGCTCTTTTAGTGCGGTGGCCGCAATGCTGCCCCTGAGACCAGGCTCCTACGGGTCTCCCAGAAGCTCCCAGCCCCTCACTGCTTTCCACTAACTGTCTTCCCTTACCACAGTGTCTTGGCTGGATTCCACCCACCTTCTCTTGAAGACCCCGCCCCCACACTCCAGCTACTCTGTAAATCCCGTTTCTGTCCCAACCATCGTGAGAACTATGCTGAGCACGTGCCTACATCTCTGATCATCCAGGCAGGAGATGAACAGGGAAGTCTTCTGCCTAAGTTGTGGCCCCCTCCCCCTTTACTGTCCATCTTCCACATTATGGTCTTAGGGAGGCATGGATGTCTGTGTCCCTGTCACAGAACAAGACCTGAGGGCTAAGACTCATGTGTCCCTTACCATTAACTCCTGAGCCCTGGCTACCCCCTGCCTGCCACTGTCTGGGTCTCACGGTGACACTGGGTTTTTGCTGCCCTGGAGCTTGACTGAAGGATGAGTAGATACCCACCGCAGGGCTTCTGAACAAGGGGCTCCAGGTCTGGACCCATTCCTCAGGATGTGAGGTGGGTGTTCCAAGCTGCCCGTCCATGCTGGCTCATCCCTATAAGATGGCCCCTTTGCTAATTTTGTGATTCTTAGAGTTGTTTAGGTTCCTCCCCTTTGTCTCTTGGAGGGCAGGAGGAAGAACCCGTGTTAAGCATTTGGCGGCCTAATGGAGATGTTCTTCCGATTCTTTCTGAGCGTGTGTGCGTGGCCTTTGCCTCGGTAGTTTAGCTTTGCCTGCTGCTGCCAAGCCAAACAGTCCTTTTCCGTGGCATGTCCCCCCTTTGCTGAATATCACACATTCCTCTCCAGTGAGCGAGGCATAAAAACAGACACTGGGCTCTGTTGTGGTCTTGCTGTTTTTAGAATGGATGTGGCCAGCTGAGCCCTGTTCCCCATATGGGCTGACCGATGCCCCGCTCTGCTGATGGACTGGATTGTAGAGAAGTCAGGAGCCCAGGGCACAGAGGGCAAGGGGGTGCTGCTGTGAGCTGAGGAGACCCTTGCCTTCCTCTTTTGTATCTATGCCTCCAGGATCACAGAAGACGCTCAGCAGAGCCCTGGCCCTTTCTACCTGCAGCCCATGCCATAGCCGTGATCTACCGTGCCATAGCCGTGATCTAGTGGCTGCTGCCCCTTCCCATTACCTTTGATGCAGCTTCCTTCTGCAGTGCTGGCTCAGCAGCCTGGGCATTGAGAGAAGGCTGCCATGACCTCCTGCCCTGAAAGTGACAGGCTGTTTGGAAAGCCTTGTCGCCAGCATCCACAGTCTTTCTGTTTTTCACCTTGGCATGTATGGGCCTCAGGTGGAGGTCTGGTCTGGCCTCTGAAGCCAGTGCAGTCTCTGGAAAAGTTGGGTGAGCTGCCGGACTGGCTCTTCTGTAATGAAAAAGGGGCAGTGATTCTGCTCCTTCATGTCACTTGTGGGAAAGGCTTCCGTGCCAGGCACGCAGTACATGCCCAGTCAATTAAACTTGTGGACTGATCTTCCCAAGTCTGTGAGGTGTGAAGTCAGCTGACTTCTGTCCTGGGATCGAGGGACAGGTGGTCATAGAGTCACTGGTGGCTTCCCAGCAGGTCCTGGGCTCTCTCTTACCTTGCTCTGGGCCCTGGAGATTTGGTTCCTGTTTTTTATAGGTGGGACCTATGACAGACTGAACCTGGCATAGGAGAGTTGCACTGTGGGTGTTCCTCGGAGCACCTCCTCTGGCTCCCAGGGCTGAAGCTGTGATGCTCCCTATGGGTTCTGTTGTCTAGCCACTGCCCTGTTCCAGAAGCTTTCACAGGGTCTAGGGGTCCTGGGACTGCCAAAGCTCTGCCCTCTTTACCTCCTGTGAGCCTGGAGTTATCTGGTTGTATCAGTAGTCTTGAGAGACAGCTGTAAGAAGGGCTAATTCCCAGCACACCAGGAGGGAAACATGCAGAATGGGACTCCCTTGGGGTCACTGACCCCTGAGGGACAGTGGTACTGCAGTTTCACATGGCCTCCTTGAGCCCATTCTTTGGTTCTTCAGCTGAGCCAATATAGATGGGGACAGGGAAGAAGTTCTCCTCCCCTCCCAGCTACCAGATAGTGCTTGGATGTCTTGGTTCACAACCTTCTCTTATGGGGCAGTGAGAGGTTCTTCACCAACAAGGAGGAGGAGGCTGAGTTGTGAGAGGAAACCAGTCACACTTTATGTGCAAAGTTCAGCATCAAGAAAACATTGGGGAAGGGACAGATAGGTTAGGAGCTGCTGCCTCCTCTCCCTTCCCTCCTCCTCCTCTTCCTCTCCTTCCACTCCCTTCTCTTGTTTGTTTTTTGGTACAAGGTGTTGCTGTGGCTTGTTGACCTGGTAATTTCTTTTCTTTTTTCAAATGTAACTTTTTATTGATTCTTCGTGGATTTCACATGATGCAGCTCAATCCCACTCATCTCCCTCCCTTTCCCATCCGCCCTCTACCTTTGTAGCATCCCCCACCCCCACCCCAGGAAGCTGTTGTGTGACACGGTGAGTCACACAGTCCTTTAGTCCATGCATTGTTACTTGCAAGTGTTTAAACCAGGCTGGCTTCAAATTCCCAGAGATTCATCACCTTCTGCCTCCCCAGTGCTGGAATAAAACAGTGCTGTGTTTTCTTGTGTTTGTCTCCCAAGTCCCCAAAGCAGGTAGGTAGCTGCTCCTGACAGCGTGCTCCTTCTAAATTGATGTCACCTCCCACTGGGAAGCTGCAGAGCATCTGGTTACCCTTGAGTGGATGGGAGTGGCCATCAGCTCCTGCAGTCACACAACCTTGGATCCCAAACTCGGCTTCCCTCCTCAGTATCTGTCCACCCACAGGTCTCTGGCTTTGCGATTCACAGTCTTCTAAGCAAAGACCCCACCAGAGCGACGAAGCCTCCCCCACCCGCCACCAAAAAAATCAAAAAACAAAACAAAAAAACTGGTTCTGTGTGCCTTACTCTACGGTTTCCAGACCACAGCCAACCCTTCTCTGAGACTTGGCATTTCCAAGTTATTTTTAGCAGTTTGCTTAAGGAAACGATCATGTCTGTTTGTACCAAGTGTCTTTGTGTCCTACTAGGGAATTTGGAAATAGGCAGTGTTCAGAATGCTGGACCTAGAAATGATCCTGAGAACGATGAGGAGCCACATTCCTGTAATCTCATCACTCAGGAGGTAGAGGCAGGGGGATCAGGAATTCAAGGGCAGCCTCAGGAACATAGAGATTGAAGCTGCCTCGGACTATGTGAGACCCTGTCTCAAAAAAACAAAACAAAACAAAAAAAAAAAAACAACCCTGCTTTTTCCATGACATTGTATGTTAGCCCTGCAGCCTGGGATTTCAACTGCAGGGTCTCCTAGTAGGCTAGTACCCCAGGGAAACCAATCACTCTGTACCCCTGTACCTCCATCCTCTTCCCTTCTCTTTATTCTTCCTTGAGGGGTTGCTGGTGGCAGTATATGAAAGCCCAGGCTGGAACTTATGCTCCTCCCCTTGACCTGCTGAGTTCTCCAGAGGTCACACACAAACTCCAGTATGGCAGCCTGGCCTCCTATAAACCCACCACACTGGATCCATGGTTCCTTGCAGAGCCAAAGTGGGGATGGCTGTTTCTTAGGGAAGCTGCATTTTCAGGCTGCCTAGGCTCTTGGTTTAGACTTGTGTTCTTCATCTCTAGGCCAGGGAATGTGTGGTATACTGCCCTGAGCCTGGGGCTCATACGGAAGAAGGGCTGTGTTCCGTTTCTAAGATCCCTGCTTATGGATAGGGACCCGATGGTTTGATGATTTGCAGAACTGCATGTCAATCCATGGAGCATTCCAGGACACCACCTCTGCACAGTGCACGGGCAGGTTCACTGCAGAAGACCTGGGCGAGGGTTTCCCAGCCTTCTGTCCCCATGTTGGAGCCAACCGTCTCCTAGACATCTTGGAAGTTTCTGTTGACCAGAAACGACTACAGCTGGGGCATAAGACAGAGCAGCTCTGCAGAGCAGCGTGACAGTGTGCATCTGAAACCACGCATGGAGAGTTTAAACCTTTGCCTTTCAACATTTTGTTCCTGCAAGTCCGAAGAAACTAACCCCGAGCAGGGCAGCTATGTGCACAAAGAATCTCAGCGGCCTGGATTGCAGGAACGAGGGTCAGCGGGGGTGAACTGTTGAAGAAGAATGTGCGGTGGGCTGGGGGGATGGCTGTCAGTCCCTGCAAGCATGAGACCCTGAGTGGGACCCCCTAGAACACAGATGGGAAACTCTGACATGGTGACAGGCACTTGTTTTCCCAGCACTGAAGACATAGAACAATTCTGGGGCTTGACAGCCAGCCAGCTTAGCCTCTGAGTTTCTGACCGGTGAGAGCGACTCTGTATCAAAGAACAAAGTGGATGCCATTGTATAGCATTATTCTTGGGAACACATGAACAAATGTCTGCTCACCCTAGACAGGAAACCAACAGCAGACAAAGTAGGGATACCACCAAAGTCCAACTTGGTGAACGAGTGTGTTTTGTTGAGTGTGACTTACAAGAGCATGGGGAGGGCTCACTTACAGGTGCAATAATAACTTAAAGACAGCTGCATCCCCAAAAGTGCATCTCAGCATAGGAGGAAGCTCACCCAAACTGGAAACGGAAGTGTACCTGCATAGCCCATGGGCAGCTCAAGATTGGAGGACATTTCTTCCAGGGAGCTCAGTTGATCTGTCAGTAGCTCCTCAATGCTTATGTATGTTTGGGAGGCAAGAGCCTCGTGAATTTGATCAGATCCATGCTTCCTAAAGCCATTGAGGTGTTTACTCTTTCTGAGTCTCGGAGTCCTTCCAAGATGGAGTTTACTATACAACACTGGTCCCTGAGGGCCATCTGACCACTACACACGTTCATGCACCCATTGCATATGTGTGTACACACTACATACACAAACAGAGAGAGAGAGAGAAGAGAAAGAGAAAGAGAGAGGTTGTGATGATCAAGAAAGAGCTGAAAGATGCTCACAGTGCATTGAAGAAGCGACATCCCACACTGCAGACCTGCCAAGATCGCAGCTAACATGTATGAAAATGTGGCACAAAATAGTTATGGGGGAGGGGTTATGCCTGATTTTCTGAGTTTTCTCTACTTTCCCAGCTTTCTGTAATATCATTTGCTATTTTATTTTTGTAAGTAAGTGGTAGAAGTGATGGGGAATTGAAATTTTCAGGGTCGATTTTGAGATGGAGAATGCTGAGTTCTACAGAATGGGGATGACCTGGCCTGCAGTTAGCTCCCCTTTGATGGAAGGCTCGGAGTTCCTGGCAGTGATTTCTATCAGGACTGCTCAGTGGCAGGGTTTTAGAGGTCACCGTGGTTGACAGATGTGGTTCAGGAAAGTGGTCAGTCTGCACGTGGTGACACGGGATATGGACTGGGCTTGCGTAGCTTCCCTTCTCCCTGAGGACCCACTCAGCCTTCCTCACCTGCCTATAGCAACCCCTCCTGAAGTCAGAACCATGCTGGGCCTGCCATGTGCTCTCATAGTCAACAGGGACCCTTGATTGTTGCTGTGATTCTGGTCTTAGAGCTGCTAGGGTGCACTGTGACAGGGCTTGGCCTCATGGCTCCTGATGTGTTTCAGGTAGGCAGTAAGGACTGCCGTGAAAATCGTCACTTGGGACCACCAGACAGCTCTCAGCTTATGTCGGTACAGTGTCTGCACAGATCTGAGGGAGTGTGTGAGCCGGCTGTCTGTCCCAGGGGCTTCTGAGGCTCTCATGTGTCTTTCTTCCTTTCTGTCTCCCCACAGAGTCAGATGGAGTTCAGCATCTCCTCCTTATCCATCCAGGAGCCCAGCACAGCCACCGTGACCAGTGATCCCAGGCCCCTGGCCAAGGCTCCTCAGGGCACACAGGCTGCCAAGCCTGCCCAGAACAGCAGATCCTCTAGCCTGGATGCCCTAGGGCCTTCGAGGAAAGAGGAGGAAGCTTCCTTCTGGAAGATCAACGCTGAGCGCTCTAGGGAGGGGCCTGAGGCCGAGTTCCAATCTCTGACACCCAGCCAGATCAAGTCCATGGAGAAGGGAGAAAAAGTCATGCCTGCTTGCTACCGCCAGGAACCCATCACAAAAGACAGGGAGGTCAAGGCTCTGCCCCAAGAACAGCAAACTCTCTCCAGTGTAAGCACAGCACAAGAGGTGCCCCAGCCTGTGCAAGCCCCTGCCAGCTTGCTGCCCAAGGCTACCCCCATTGAGTCCCCAGAGAAGCCACCACCTCCCACTGCCCAGCAGGACGACGAAGACGATGCTCTGTTCTCAGAGCCTGTGTTTGCGCAGGTAGGTGGTGGTGCCAAGTCCACATCAGAAGTGGGGGGCACATTCTTTCACAGATATCCAAGGAGGGCTCACAGGACGGGACAGCCACCAGTGCCCCCAATGCAGTCTTCTCCACTGAGTTCAATTTCCAGAGCCCATGTTAAAAAATATCTGGGTTTATAATCCCAACGCTTAGATTGGAGTTGGAGACAGGTGTAACCTTGGGCTTGTTGGCCAGACAGCCTAGCCCACTTGGCAAATTCCTGGCCAAGGGCAGACCACACACACACACAGACACACACACACACACACACACACACACACACACACACGAGCGGATGTATCTGTTCACTTTATAATGCTGTCGGGAGCAGGAGGGTGCCGGGGGAGAACTAGGTTGCTTTCCTCTGCTCTTTGTATGCTGGTGTTGCAAGAGTGTCACTTGCGCTGGGTTTTGTGCAGCTTTCTGGTCCCTGGCACTGAGGTAAATTGAGGTCAGGTGCCCCTGAGGCAGCAGCTGCTTTCCTCTGGGTCATTTTTTTTTTTTTTTTTTTTTTTTGGTTTTTTTGAGACAGGGTTTATCTGTGGCTTTGGAGCCTGTCCTGGAACTAGCTCTGTAGACCAGGCTGGTCTCGAACTCACAGAGATCCGCCTGCCTCTGCCTCCCGAGTGCTGGGATTAAAGGCATGCGCCACCATCGCCCGGCTTCCTCTGGGTCATTTTAAATGGAGTGCTGGCCGGGCGGTGGTGGCGCACGCCTTTAATCCCAGCACTCGGGAGGCAGAGGCAGGCGGATCTCTGGGAGTTCGAGGCCAGCCTGGTCTACAAGAGCTAGTTCCAGGACAGGAACCAAAAGCTACGGAGAAACCCTGTCTCGAAAAATCAAAAAAAAAAAAAAAAAAATGGAGTGCTGTATATAGGTTGTCTGTGCCTGGGACGGAGGCCCACATCTTATTCTTCACCTTTGTCCCTCTGCAGATCGGCTCAAGTAACACCCTCCTAAAGACGGGCTTTGATTTTCTGGACAACTGGTAGACGGTGCTACCCGGAAACACAGCCAAGAGCCCCCATGTGGCCCACGTGGTGTTCGGAGGAGAAGGCAGCTCTGCCTGTGTATTTTCCTCTTTCCTCTTCCCTTTTCTTAGTCTTTCAGGAACTAGGAAATGTTGCCAGGTTTTCTTTCTTTTTTTTCTTTCTTCCTCCCTCCCTCCCTCCCTCCCTCTCTCTCTTTCTTTCTTTCTTTCTTTCTTCCTTTTTCTTTTTGGTAAGACCAAATAGATAAATATGCTATTTTCAAGGATTTGATAACAAGTTTTACACTTGGGATTTTTAAAGACAAGAATCCAGTAAGCCTTGTAAATAAAACTTCTGTCCCGGGCTCCACCCCACTTCTTCCACCAAGGAGGTTCTCAGACCAAGTCACCAAGGGCCGTGCAGGCGACCATCTCTTTGCGCCCTCCCCATTCCTTTTCACTGGGGGCTCCCTGGGTGGAGCTAGGCTGTTGACTGTCACTGTGGAAGATTCATCCTTAAAAATGGGCTCACCTGGAACCCTCCCTTTGCTGAACCACATCTGGCATTCTGTGCCCTTCCCCACCCCTGCTTCTAGGAAACAGACTGCTGGCAGGTGGTGGCAGGTGCCCGCTAAGCTGCCTGGTGACTTACTCGGAGCTCTGGTGTTTGAAAGCCCCTGCCTGCTGGCAGGTTTTCTATCAGCGTCTCGCTGTTTTGTATGTGGCTGCAGCAGCTTCCTTGGTCTGTGGATTTTCTTCTGAAGATGCTGTAAGTGTCCTGCCAGTGTCCCAGTCCTGTTCTCTCCAGCAGTCAGGGCCGTGGCAGCTGTGCTGGAGAGCAGGGTGCTTCTGACTCACTGTGTTAGAACCTTCCAGCATGAGATTGGAAGGCTTAACTGTTCTTTACCCCGGTTTGGTCAGCTGTATCGTGAAGGCCTCTCCCCAAGACCAGACCACCTTCAAATGAAAGAGGCCTTCCTGATGGTTCCAGAAACTTCCCCTTGCAGCCCTGAGAGCTCACAGCAGCAAGGCTGGGTGAGGAAAATGAGCCTCACCCAGATCTGCTCCCTGTCCTCCCCGCTGGCCTGCCACGGCCCCTGGACCACACGCATCTGCAGGAGGCGTCAAGCAGATCTGTGAGCTCTGGGTGGCACGGTCTACCCTTTGCTGTCACTCCGTTCTCTTCACCTGAAGCCTTAATCTCAATGAGCCCCCTTCTCCGAGCACCTGGTTCAGTACTGAATGGTGTGACCTTAATGCCCACGTCACAGGACTTTCTGAACTAGCTCCTGGAATATCTATTAGACCCTGCTTACCAAGGCAGAGCACACACAGCAACTGTCCCACCCTTGTCTTTTCCCCTGGGAAAACATGCCAAAGCTGTACTTAGCCAATATTGATGCGATACCTGCCAATTAGTTTATGTCCTGAGCCTCCCTTGGTCTCTAGGTGGCTTTTGACCAGTTATCATTCCGTACTGTTGTAGAGCAGTGATAGCAGAAGAGAAGAAAGGCTTCTGGCACAACGAGGACGAAAATAACTCGCAAGCCACCATTGGTACAGCCCACGCTGGCCCTGACTCTTCAGGGGATCCAGCATGGCTACCGTGTGCCTGCCTCCCTCCCTCCCCAGTGCAGTGGTTGATTTCACGTCTGTGCACGTTCTCCTTCCGTGTAGGTCTATGGTCCATGGCAAGGGCACAGCAGGAAGGCGAAGGCTCACCCTGGCCCTTGACCAGCGTGACATGTCTATTCTCTCTCTGTGCAGACATTTTCCCTTCTTCCCACTTTCTCCTGATTCCCTTCTAGCTTCTCTAGTGAAAACACAGAGAAGGCTGCTTGTAGGCACAATGGTGTTTCTCAAGGAGGCCTCCTGAGAGCAGTTGGGAAGCTGGGCGGTGGTGGTGCACACCTTTAATCCCAGCACTTGGGAGGCAGAAGCAGGCGGATCTCTATGAGTTTGAGGCCAGCCTGGTCTACAGAGTGAGTGTCAGGACAGGCTCCAAAGCTACACAGAGAAACCCTGTCTTGAGAAACCAAAAACAAAAAAGCAAACAAACAGAAAGAACAGGTGGGAAGTCCCAGATAGGGGGTCCAGGAGGGATCCTAAAGTACCCACCTGACCTGAGCATTGTCCTTGTGCCTGGGCAGACCAAGCTGGCTTCTTGGTCTCCCCCAGGGACTATGTGACAGTGGCCAGGAGATTAACCAGGTATTTTCCACCTTATCTTCCTCCGTCGTCATGATGATACACACCCATCACTTCTCTTCCTCCGTCATCATGATGATACACCCATCACTTCTTTTCCTCCGTCGTCATCATGATACACACCCATCACTTCCCTTCCTCCGTCATCATGATGATACACCCATCACTTCTCTTCCTCCGTCATCATGATACACACCCATCACTTCCTCCGTCATCATGATGACACACCCATCACTTCTCTTCCTCCGTCGTCATGATGATACACACCCATTACTTCTTTTCCTCCGTCGTCATGATGATACACACCCATTACTTCTTTTCCTCCGTCGTCATGATGATACACACCCATCACTTCCCTTCCTCCGTTGTCATGATGATACATACTCATCACTTCTCTTCCTCCGTCGTCATGATGATACACCCATCACTTCTCTTCCTCCGTCGTCATGATGATACACCCATCACTTCTCTTCCTCCGTCGTCATGATGACACACCCATCACTTCTCTTCCTCCATCATCATGATGATACACCCATCACTTCTCTTCCTCCATCATCATGATGATACACCCATCACTTCTCTTCCTCCATCATCATGATGATACACACCCATCACTTCCCTTCCTCCGTAGTCATGATGATACACACCCATCACTTCCCTGTAAAGCAGTTCTTCCTCTCAAGCCTGTGTATGATTTTGATCTCCACCACACACCCAGGCTCAACGCCTGGGAGGCAGCTCCAGGACTCTGTGTCTTGCTTTTGGTGGCCATATTTGACAAAAGCTCTCAGGAACCTAGACTCTGCCTGTCTGGGTTGTCCCTGAGTCCCCGGCCCTCCTGGCTTGGACGTGCTCCTGTTAGGAGCAGCGGAGCCGACCTCCTGGCCAGGTGCATCCCTCATGCCAGGGCCAGGAGTGGCCTTCTATTCTTTACACCGCCCTCTCCTTTGATACATATTTTCAAAATGGCAGATTCTTAATGACAACTTGTAACTTTGTTCTATTTTATACTACTAGCCTTTAATAAAGCCATTTTAAAAATGAGAGTTGGGTCTGTTTCATTTTCTGCTTTGTTCAGGAAGCTCAGCAGGGTGGCAGGAATTTAATGCCAAATTGTGTTTTCTAGGAAGATGTCGAGAAATATCTGCTCACCCTCGATAGGTCACTAATAGACCAAAGAGAAGATCATCCAATTACTTACCAAAGTGGTCCCTACAACCAAGAGGTTCCTTCCTCAGCATGGTGGGTTATCTTGCAGGTCCACCACTGAAGAGTCCTCAAGTCAACCTCTTCCTCCTACATATCCTAGTGACCCCTCCAAGACCAGGAGGGAGTGGCCACTAGAACCTCAGTTTGTCCCTTTGCTATGACCTCATATCTGACTCCTACCATATTCGAGTTTCCCATGGGCTATGGTCTCCTGCAGGCCAGCAACTCTGCTCTGTGGCATTAATAGTCATATCACGCCTGGAGGTGATGGCTGCACGACCACATGCAATAAAGATTCACACCAGTGGGAGACAGCCCAGTGGAGTGTACACCATCCCCTGTGCAGCTAGTGGACGTAGTGGCCCAGGTACACCTGCCCCAGCAGACAGATGGCTGTCCTGGAGATGTAACCCGAAGATTAGAATTCATGCCCCTCCTCGCCACAAATGCCAGTGGGCAGAGGCAGGAATGGATCTCGAAGTCAAGTTTTATTCAGAGAGCCAGAGATCCAAGAAGTCAATGCACCAACACTAAAAACTCCAGCCAGCAGGCTTCAGGGATGAACAAAGGCCGTAACTGTTACAACAATATTTAGTTTCACCCTGGTCAAGTGGCAATGTCTCCAAGGTTCATGTGCTGGTGCTTCTGGCTTTGTGTCTCCTCCACTTGGTCCCCATTTTTGTCTCTCTGCAGCTGGATTTACATACTCCCACAGCCAGTGAGCCTTGCTTTCCTCCCATGGTGACCCTCGGGGTTAACTTAGAGTAAGCAAACCATTAGCAACATGATCATTGTCTATTCTCCCTTGCCGTAAGAGGAATAAGTGTACCCTTCAATGTAGAAGGCAAAATGCCCCTCTCTGTCATTGTGACCTTCCAGAGGGATCATAGGGCTCCAGAAAGACTTTCCGAAGACAGGTTCACGGGGCAGTGACCGCAGGGCAAACATGGAACTCCTCCATGTGCCCTGCTAAGTGATTAGTGAGTACAGCTGAGGTGAGTTTTTGTTGGGGGTGGAGGAAATTCAGTATCTAGTTTGGTTAATTAGTCAGATCCAGTTTGTTGACTCAGAGTGAGAAATTGCCAAGTGTAGGTAGGAAATTTTCAAATGTCACTTTTTTGTTTTTTTGAGACAGAATTTCTTTCTGTAGCCCCGGCTGTCCTGGAACTCACTCTGCAGATCAGAGTGGCCTTGAACTCAGGCCTGCTTCTGCCTCCCAAGCGCTAAGATTAAAGGCATATACTGCCATGCCCAGCCAGATGTCACTTTTCAATAAGCTTTCATTAATTTAAAATACAGCTCTCACCTCAAATGGAATAAGACAGCCCCCACTTCCATCTCCAGCATCCTGCCTGCCCCTCTTATTTGGTCATATCACCTGTGCCTCTCTGATACCACTTCAGGCCCTGCTGTCTTCTGCATGCCTTTGCGGCTGCAGCTTCCTGAACTGGGTTGCCTGTTCATTCTGTCCCCTGGCTTCCCAAGTGTTGACTCTATAGAGGGATACAGGTTCCACGTTCAAGTCCCCCAAGCCTACCGGCTCTTCCTAGGAAAGTGTTGGTGCCTTGAAGCCCTAGAGTAAAGGGAGGGGACCGGTACAGTGTAGAGAAGCCTCAGCTGACCCTCAGGTGGCTGGAGGGCTCCTGGGAGATTGTGGTCTTTGTGTCCCAGGCCCTGCAGGCCAACTCTGCTCTGCTTGGGGCCTCTGGCTTTCTTGCTTGTCACACAAGCTGTCTATCTCTCATCAAAACCTCCAGAGCTGACTTGGCATTCTGTGATCAATGGCCTCAATAGATCATGTCTCTGGGACACCTCCCTCCTCCTCTCCTTGCCATCGGTGACCCAGGCTCTGAGACTCTGGCCCAGTCACTCTGCAAGGCCACTTTAGAGAAGATGTCATCCATGAACTCTGCTGGAACCTCAGCATTCGCCAAAGCCCTGCATCATATCCGCATGAGGTGACAGGGTGAGGTATTTAATGTCCCATAGATGAGTGTTGTCTCTCAGTACCGCTTCTCGCTAGGCCGCCTGGGAGTCACTCAGCGTCACTTCCCGAGGCTCCTTACCTGTCGTCTGTGTGAAGCGGCAGTTCTGTGACATGGCACAGGGATGAAGCTAAAATGCAGACGGAGGGCTAGCGTACAGCAGGTCTCAGATGTCAACCTGAGTGGCGTCTGACAGCAGGCTCCCTGGAGCCCTTCTTGCCCTTGGGACTCTGTGACATCCATCTTAGTAGCCTTCGGAGAAATGGCTTGACTGACTGCAGCCAAACCCGCCTTTTGCAGCCAACAGAAATGAGAAGCTCAGATGGCTGTTAAGGACACAGCCGGACAAAACTCGCCAGGTCCCTGTCACCAGCCATCTGGGTCTCTTCCCAGCAAACTGCTTTCTGCCTCCAAACATCACCGGTGACTCATGCATCTATTTTTGAATTTTCTGGAATGGATTTTAACCCAAACCAACTGACAACAGTCTCTGCTTGAGGGTCAGAATGACCAAGTCACATTATACAGCATGGCTGTTCTTTAGTTATGATGGAGAGTGTCTTTGACTGTTTGCCCACTGGAATGTCACCCTCTGGGCTGGGGTCTCCATCAGGCACTGGGAAGATGTCCCACATGGTATAGTGGCTCGTTGCTGCAGGCTGTCTCAGGGATTGCCAACCTCCTCCTGTGTGGTGGAGGTTGGCTGGGCCATGTCCACTGTGGGGCCTGGGGCCGTAGGAGGGGCAGGGAGGGAGCACCTCCATTTCCTTACCAGGAGTGTGAAGGTGCCTGGGCTTACAGATGTGTGTGCTGGAGAGGCAAGTCCCCATTCCTAAGAAGGCGTTAGGAAATGGGAGTGTCACTCAGAGGGCTGGACACTCAATAGTGGAGGGAAAAGATGCTCCATCTGCTCCCCAGCTGTGATCCAGCTCTGATGGTTCAGTTTAAACTGGAAAAAAACAAAACTCGATTGTTTACTTTGGAACTTCTTAGGGACCCCATGGCCTGCCTGTCTAAGTCGCAATGTCCATCAAGGTGGAAGCCACAGCTGCTACCTCAGCCGCCTACATCCAGGCCTCAGTAGGCCTTGAGCTGCCTTCCCCTGGGGGCTCAGTATGCCAGTGCTCAGTGTGACCCTGAAGGGGGAGGGGCAGGCATGGCTGGGTTGGGGTGAAGCGATGTGGGGAACAGTTCCTGCAGGGCAGAGTCACCAGGTCGCTAGACCCAGAAGGTTCTGGATGAGTCCAACAATTGAAGCAGCGTGCTGAGAACAGGAGGATCAGAACCAGGGACTGAGCACAGGTCCTGGCCAGCCCTGCAGTCCCTTCAGTTAAGGGATAGAGGCACAGTCACCTGCAGCCACCAGAGGTGTCAGAGAAGCTGAGTTCTCTCACAGGCCTCTGAGCACTTCCAGGTTCCCAGAGGATGGGACCGGCTTTCAGAGGGTTTCCTTACTGGTGCCGGCAGGAACGCGAATATTCCAGAGACACTTGTGCCCTCTTCTTGTCCACCAACTATTGAAATCATGGATGCCAAGAAACTGGAATTTCCCCCAAGAGTCTGATGTCCAGTGTAGGAGAAGGTTGAAGTCCAGTGCCAGCCGGAGGGGGAGCTTTTCTCTTGACAGATTTCAGGTTTCACACAGTTCTGTCAGATTGTCAGACCATCTTGGAAGAGACTGGAGCTGAGACAGTGATGGATCAGTGATGACCTGGACCACACTGGACTAGGACTGCCTCGTTCTTGCCCTCAGTATATTGCAGAGATGGGCTTGGTCACTTGTTCCTCTCTTAATGTGGCCACGGTGATTAAATCTCCTTTAGATGCCTTTTTCTAGGACTTGACTCTGTCACTGGCAGCTGAGGATGGTGGCTGAGCCTGTCTTTCGAGCCTGCTAAAGCTAGCAACAGACTCAAGTAGGGAGGACCCAGAAGTACAAGGGCTCCGCCCTCAGAGGCAGATGTCAGATTGCCCAGCATGGGAAACTGAGTTTCCTGGCCTCAAACGGCCTGTTCCTGGATTCCTACCTTGTGCTGAAGGACAGAGAAAGACACACTTTTGTAGAGAAAACTGACAAACCATCCCTGAGTGTCTAGGAGCCAAACGGTGTCACCAGGGTGAAAAAAACAAAGCTATAAGTAGCCTTTTTCTCCCTCAGCAATAGGCCCCGGGGCTCTGGCAGCAGTCACCTCTTAGTGGTGCCAAAACTGGGCCAGATGCACCTAGAAACAGGTGGCCGTAGATTCCGCACCAGCTGGCTCTGCTCAGAGATGCCTGAAGCCAGCCGTGATTCTAATGGAATGTCTGGTCCCGTGACTCAGGGAGCACACAGCACTTTGCAGACACACATGGGATACAGCTGGCCCTCCTCCCCACTGAGCCTGATGCAGGGTAGGCAGGGTGGATACTGCTCTGTCCCTGGCCACACCCAAGGTCCAGGTGGAAACAGGCATGCCTATGACCTAGAGCCTGAGAAGGCTTGTAACAGTCAGGCCCTGGGTATCATCCACAGAGATGGGGTTGTCGAGGTCAGTCTATGTGCTGGCAGCCCTAGTGAGCAAGGCTTAGTCACCTGTCCTTAACAGGCCAATTTAACAGACGAGCAGTAACGAGATGTGGAGCCGGGGAGCTGACTTAGTGGGTGAGAGCGCTTGCTTTGGAAGCCAGAGGACTGGAGCCTCAAGGCAGTAATGTCACCTGCCTGGCAGAAAAGACACCAGCTAGAGGAGGGCTGGTCTCCCGGAAAGAGGTTTCACACAGTTCTAACAACTTATCAGGCCACTCGGCAGGAAGAGACTGATATCTAGACAATGACGGGTCAATGATGGGCAGGACCACATCTTGACAGTG